GGTTTATTCTCTGTCCCTCAGGGTTTATTCTCTGTCCCTCAGGGTTTATTCTCTGTCCCTCAGGGTTTATTCTCTGTCCCTCAGGGTTTATTCTCTGTCCCTCTGGGTTTATTCTCTGTCCCTCAGGGTTTATTCTCTGTCCCTGTGGGTTTATGTCCTGTCTTACTGTAGGTGGAGGCAGCCGGAGGATGTGGGCTTGGAGGCTCAGACACAGGTGTCCCTGGCTGCTGCTCAGCTCCAGACCTGAAGAAGGAACAGGTCAGGTCTGAGACGTTTCAGGACATTTAGCCTCAGAGACGAGAGAGACGACTTACTGACGGCACTGAGACGTCCTCGATCTGACAGGAAGTCTTTACCTGAAGACAAGCAAGAACAGAATCTACTGTAGCTTCTGAGAACCAAACAAACCATGACCTTTGACCTTTGACCTGCTCTTTTTTTTATTAACAACTTTGCACATCTTACAAAAACGTTCAGGAGAACAGATCAAAAACAAAGGAATTAGCATGAAGGAACAGAAAAAGAAAAAAATGAGAGTTACAGAATAAGGTTGTACATACTACAAATATTTTTGTTTTTACAGCCTCCTTGTTTGAATCTGAGATTACATCAAAATATAATTTTACATCCATTGCAAAGAGGTCAAAAAGTGGTTTTCTATGAATTACTTTAGTTTTTTGAATATGAAACTTGGCCAGAAACAAAATCAGATAGATAATATACAGGTATATGGCAGAAGAGTCTCACTTTAAAACCTGTGATRCCAACCACAACATTTTCATAATACAACAAGAAATCAGGTTTAACAGTGGAAATCAGAGCAGCTGTCTTTCTAAAGGTCCTGTGAGCAGGTACATTTCCAAAAGAGCTGAACAGATGTTTCTGGAGGAAGTTTACAGAAAGAACAGGAAGTATCAATATCAGCTTTGTATTTCTGAAGAAAATGTTTGGTTGGTAAAATCTGTGAATTAATTTAAAATAAAATACTTTAAGCTTACTGGTAAGAAAACTAATTGTGTGGAAGAGAGCAGATTTTTACCCAGTTAAGGTTTTTACAGAGGAGTTCCAGTAGGAAACAGCAGATGGGGATGAAACTAYATTTTCTTGAAATAAAGGTCAGATTTTACAGTTAATGCATTTTAGTTGATGCCTTTGACCTTTTCCCTGAGGCCTGAGGTGGACCTCACTGCACGGTCTGACCTTCAGGGTGAAGACTGTTAGCTGTCTSAAATATTTTCCTCTTTCAGATTCTTAACCCATGGGCCGCAGCCCAAATGTGGGCTGTGAGCGCCACCTTGAGGGCCTCAAAAGAACAACAGTTTTTAACTTTGGGCCACAGAGGGCCGTGGGACCACATTGATTTTAAATAAGGTGCAATACACTTTCTCACCACCAGTAGCAGTGGTGCCACTTAGATGTTTAACAACTTTTTTTAATACGTAGAAGAAGAACCTTAGATACCTGCCGAGAATGGAAACCTATTTTAAATTAAAAGTAGAAGCAAAAATGAAGGTAACTCGTCAAAAAAAATGTCAGTCACTAATATGAAGTGCAGCTTCTGGTTCTACCTGCAATATTTTAAAAGTTCAAAACATTATCAAATACTATTGCAAATACAACTACTGTATATTTTAATTTGCACTTTATCAAATTAGTTTTTGTAATTCATTTTTAATCATTTTGTCAAAAAGCTGTTGTTACTGTTATTG